TTCCCACTGGTTTTGAACAGAATATGAAGAAATCTGAAGAGAGAAGATGACCGAACCATCTTTAACCTCAGAATCGATGCTCTGATACCATGTTTTATTAGWAAAAATAATCAAAGAACAGTAGGAAGAAGAGAGAAGGGAGAAGGGAAAGTTTTGGAGTCAAAAAGATAAGTTGGCATCACCAGCTTTTCTTTCCCACTACTAACAAACACAAGTCATAAACATAACTTAAAGAGAAAAAGAAACTAAAGCCCATTCGCCCATCATCTCCACAAAAATTTATACCAATGTTTAGAAAACAAACCAGACCAGTTGGTCGAACTGGTTAAATTGTGACTAGGCCCCCAGATGGTTCAGTCATACCCTAAAACCGTTATCACCAAAAAACAAAAACAGCTAAAATCATCCACTTGGCTGGTCCAACTTGGGAACTGGTTAACTGGTCCCAGTTTTGTGTAACCAGACAGTTTTTATCATTCTTATTTTACTTTATATGCAAACTTCTAGAGGCCATAACTTTTCACTTAGTTATTCAATTGAGGTGTTCCCAAGGGCCAAAGGCACCTTGCCCTACTATTTTTTCAAACAAAAATGCCTTTTTGAGCCTCAAATCTTAATTTTTAATATAAAAATTTGAAACTAAAATAAGAAATATATGTTATAGAATAATATAATTATATATTTGAAATATATGTATATAATTAATATTATTACGCATCTATTAGTAAAGATGGTTCAAATGTTGTGCTTTTACTAAATAGGTCCAAGTTTAATACAAGTAAATTTCAATTCATTTTGTTCATGAAATACAATATCAATGTAAATTTTAGTTCATTTTACCAATAACATATATATTTTGATCATTTTTAGTATAATTTAATTTACTTATATCATTCAATATCCAATCATAATCTGAATTTGATTCGAATCTGACATAAATTCAACGGATAGAATTAGAATCTGATTTGAATTCAAATACAAATCAAATTTGGATCTACCTATATCCAATTTGATTCAATCCTTTTGCAGTCCTATTTAAACTTGCCATTGTAAGTGCTACTATAAGCTCTCAAAAGCATGGTTTTTAAAACCAACTTGGTGATCGAACCAGTCAGGGGTCCGGTTACCGAGTCGAACGGTCCGACCATTCGAACCGAACGCTCGCCCCGTTCTGACAGAAAAATAAAAAAATAAAAAATTTTCGAAAAAAATAAAAAACGGTCAAAACCATTCGAACAGTTAACCGCCCGGTTCAGCGATTCGCTGACCAAAATCAACAGTTTTGGGGGGAAATCTGGTTTTTGGGGAAAACGGAACCGGTCAAGTCCCGGTTTTTCCAGTTAGACTGTCTGGTCCGGTCCGGTTTTGAAAACCATGCTCAAAAGAGTTGCCTCACTACCACAGTAGATAGAAATTGGAGGCACTGGACTAGGCTATAACTTTATTTCCAACAACAAATTCAAATCCATTCAACCTCCTTTCTTGCAGTTCTTAAAGCTATGACTTCGGACAAAGACCCATCTAGAGATTTGAGGCCCAAGAAATTGGTTGAGTTAGATATACAAAATTGTTTCTTGGATGCCCAAGAAACTGCACCCCCCACATAGGACAAAGACCCATCCAGAGATGGACTTGTTAGTAATTTAACTTGCATCATTATACATTTATACCCTTCTAGTACAGTTAGAAAATCATTGTAATCCAATCCACGTAAAGTATCCTAGGCCTCTTCCAATTGCATTCTACTGCTTTTCATTGGGGTTACTTGCAAATCTATTTAATTTGCAAATAGAATAAATTATATCAAGTCTGACACAAACCATTGTAGACACTAAGCTACCAATAGCACTAGCATATGCAAGTTGAGTTACTACTCTACCAGAATTTTTAACTAGTTTTATACTATTGTCACATGGAGTGTTAATATTCGTTTATGCTTGGATTTTTCAAGAATTTCCTCAATGTAGTGTGATTGGCTTAAAGCAAATCACCCATTAAATTTATTAACTTTAATTCCCAAGATGATATCAACTTCCCCTATATCCTCCGTATCTATGAATAAACATTTATCAGCACCATTGTGTTTAAAACCAAAAGATAAAATAAAAAAGGCAGCCCAGTGGATGAGGCTCCCACTAATGTGGGGTCTGGGGAAGGATCGATGTGCGCAGCCTTAGCCCTGCATACTAGAATCAAAATTTCCATGCCATTATTTAGGTGCCTGCTTCAAATCATATAAAGACTTAACTAATTTGTAGATTCTTTTTCATTTCTAGGAAGGTCAAATCCTTCTAGTTGTTCCATATATACTTTCAAACACTATCTAAGAATGTTGATTTTACATTTAGAGTCTACTTTGTTTTATTGTCCCTGTTGTTGGTTCTGACATCCACTTAGGATTGTCCGATAATTTAGGGTATACATTGGATTGGGAGACCAAGAGATAACTCAATGCAACCTCTTTCATTACCTTGGTTTAATAATTCATAACAAAGGAGAGATTGAAGATGTTGTACATAGAAGTAGAGTAGGATGGGCAAAATGGACGGGTGCATCTAAAGCCTGAAAGTGGCTATTTCAAGCAACAAAATGCTGATGGTTAGCTATTTATCCTGCTCACCCCTCCCAAAACCACAGATAGTTGGGACCAAGGATGGGTAACCTTTTATGTGGAAGAATCTATTTGACTACTCATCAAAGAAATTGCACAGTATTCAAACTCTGTAGTAGTGCTGCCCCCAACAGGGATGCAATTAACCACAAGTACTACACTTGTTTCCATGGAACAAACTGAAATGAGAAGGGCTAATTGTCTATTTGGCACTACCTACAAGAACTCTTGGCATAAAAAGTGACTTGTTCAATTCAACTCCTTGAGCCCATAAGACAGAATTCTCTTTCATTATACATGATAGGAGCTTATGCCTTCAATTCTCTTTCAATTGTAGAATCATTTGTTCAAATCTTGAGAAATCATTTTTCTTGTTTAATATGCTTATGCTCATTTAGTATTTCTCCCTGTAAAAATGGACTTAGCTACTAGGTAATAATGCAACATAGGATGCATGTAGCCAGTTACAAGGAAAATCATAGAACTCATTCAAGTAATATTTAGTTTAAGGTACTTCAATATTCTGTTACGAAGTTCTATCCCTTTTTGTATTCTAATGGAATTACATGCACAAGTCATATGTTTTCTGTGTTAATAAATGCTAAATGCTAATACACTTGCAATCTTTAAGTACCATTACATCATATACTTTGTTTTATATTTCGGTCTGCTTATTTATAATAGTTAAGGTATAAAATCATCATCTAATGGCATTACTGCAGCTTGCCCTCTCCCTGCTTCTTTGATATAATCAACGACAATGAATACATAGAAGAGTATTACATGGGAATGGTGAACATTACTCATCTGCTCAACCAAAACAAAAACTGAGGTAAGGTTGTGTAGGTCAACTGACTCAATAGCTATGACATCATGATAGGCATAAACAAAGACACAGACATAGATACAGAAAACAGGGGTGCAACTTCCATTTGCTAAGATTCTGGATACTGATAAGGGTAACTCATTTAATATGGACATAATAGTTTAAATGCTACAAATGATGCTCCAGAAGTGTCTATGCAGTCTCTTGCATCATATCAGGTACATATCATGTCTCAAAACTGGTCTGCTAGGGATGCACAGGTATGAACATATCATAATTCAATAGTAAAATCTACCAAAAGAACAATCTTTATGTGTGTGTGTGTGTGTGTTTTAAATCACACCCCACACGACTTGTGATCTCTAGTTACAAGTAATTATGTCTCCACAACCTCAACTTGATTATCTTCTCAAAAAGGTTTCATGGATGAACTTCAGCATGGAATGACTAAAAAATATCTTCCTTTTACTAATTTCTGAAGTGTGGATTTCCATAACACATAATAGGAGACAAATTTAAGCTAATTACCTTTGGGGGGGTAAAAGTAGGTAGTCCATCATCCTTTATTTTCTTCAGAAGTTTCTTCGCAATATTTTGAAACCCACCAATATCATTTATCCACTACAAATCGGTAAAATCATATGAGAGGCATGCATTAAACAGTCAGCATGAAACTAAAAAAAAAAAAAAAGAACATTGGTAACTACAAGGTCTATCTTGCTGTACCTATAAATCATGATTTGGAAGCAGGAATAACAGCTTAGTTATAGTAAATAACTTTGATTTCAACAAAATTTAATTATTAGTATGACAAAGTGTGGTATTACAATGCATGCAAAAAGTAAAGAAATGAACTACTACAATCACCCAAGTAACTTTAGCTTTATACAAAAAAAAAAAAAAAAGAATAATTTTATTGGAATAGAAGACAAATCCCCCTTTCTAGTAACAAATAAGAAATTTGTATTAATGAGAAGTGCATGCACATGCCTTGCTGGAAATAAGCAATGAAAAGTACACAAAGACCATAAAATAACCTTTATTATACCATAATAGTATATCTAGGCCTTACGTGATGTTTGCTGGAGAACAGCAGCAGAAGAGGAAGAAGAAGAGAAGAGAAGAAGTTTGAGAATGGGCGGCAGTGATAATTCAGCCGGTCCTAGAAGCTAACATATATATTTACAATAAGAGATTACATGAAAGGACTAGAATGCCCCTGATTAGTGATGGGACACCTAGACATAATAAAGAAAAAATAAAACAAGTTTAGGCCCAATAACTAAAGGCCCATAGTAGACTAAGGAGCTTAAACATAAAAGTTAAACTACGCCCACCAACACTTAACCACTCGAACCAGCACTCCCCCTCAAGCTAAGCATGGATATCAGTCATGTTTTGCTTGCCAAATAAGCCTAAGAACTTCACCGAAGATAGTCTTTTGTCAAAACATCTGCAACCTGCATCTTAGAAGGAGTATAAGGAATGCAAAGTTCACCCGAGACAATTCTCTCTCTAACAAAGGAGGGTCCTAAGCCATAACAATTAAGCAACACCATGAGCCATAGCCCGATATTCAGCTTGAGAGGACCATGAGCCTTAGTCCTATCATGTTGTACTAGGTTATTTGCAATGTTGATGGCAGCCTTATTGTCACAATACAGCTTGAGAGGACACTCAACCTTTATCCCGAGCTCACCAAGGAGGGTCCTAAGCCATAACAGTTCAGCAACACCATGAGCCATAGCCCGATATTCAGCTTCTGCACTTGATCTAGCAACCACATTCTGCTTTTTACATCGCCACGTAAGCAAATTCCCTCCAATGAATGTGCAATATCCAGAAGTAGATTTCCTATCTCCAATAGAACCAGCCCAATTTGCATCAGTATATGCCTCAATTTCAATTTTATTGTGCTTTTTGAACAAAATTCCTTTCCCGGGCATGTTTTCAAATACCTAAGGATCCTTTCCACTGCTTTCATATGAGGAATCTTTGGAGTGTGCATGAACTGGTTGACAACATGCATTGCATAAGCAATATCAAGTCGAGTAAGAGATAGATATATCAATTTTCCTACCAGCTTTTGGTATCTTTCTTTATTAGGGTAGTCCTCTCCAACCGATTCCTGTAGACAATGATTCTGCTCTATTGGAGTATCTGCAGGTCTACTCCTCATCATACCTATCTCCTCTAGAAGATCAAGGACCTACTTCCTTTGACATATACAAATACCCTCTTGTGACCTTGCAACCTCAATTCCAAGGAAGTTTCTCAAATGGCCTAATTCTTTGATCTCAAATTCAAATGCCAAGAACTCCTTCAATCTTTTTATCTCTTCTAGATCATTTCCTGTAATCACCATATCATCCACATAGACAATAAGTGTTGTAAGTCTACTATCCTTTTTCCTTATGAACAAGGTATGATCTGCACCACTCTTAGTGTATCCCACTTTCTTCATGGCCCCACAGAGCCTTTCAAACCAGGCTCAAGGGGATTGCTTAAGACCATATAATGCTTTCCTTAGTCTACATACTTTCCCACCAAAATCATAACCAAGTGGAGGATTCATGAATACCTCCTCATGTAGATCACCATTCAGGAAAGTGTTCTTCACATCCAACTAATGTAGTTCCCATGAGAAATTTGCAGCTAATGACAATAGAACTCGAATTGTGTTAAGCTTTGCAACTGGAGCAAAAGTCTCCTTGTAGTCAATCCCTTCCTTCTAAGTAAACCCCTTCGCACTAGCCTAGCCTTATATCTTTTAATGGACCCATCCTCCTTATGCTTCACAGTGAACACCCACTTACATCCCATAGTGCTCTTCCCTTCTGGTAGATACACTAATTCCCAAGTCCTGGGCTTCACTAACGCTTTCATTTCTTCATTCATAGCCTCTCTCCATCTTGGGTCAGACACTACCTCTGAGCACCTAGCAGGGACATGAACAAAAGATAGAGCAAACACAAAGGAATAATAACGAGGAGATAAACATAAATAGGAAACGTATTCAGCAATGGGGTATCGAGTAGTACAAGAACAGGTAGGCTTACGAAGAGCAATGGGAAGATTCAAATCAAAAGTATGAGTGATAGGATTACCTAGAACCATTGAGACAGATTGATTCGAGTCCGATTGGTTGTTGCCATAAGTTGGAGGATCTTTTTTTCTTCTTCTATAGGGAATTCTCATATCTCTTTACTGCCTATTAGTGTTATCAGTCACATCCTCAACATCAGGAGCGGTAACAGGTTCAGTGGGAGTCCCACTGGATTCAACTAGGTAGTCAAGAGCAATAACAGGTTCAATGGGAGCCTCACTAGATTCACCTTGGCTGCTAAAAACGGGAGGATCAGGAGGAGAAGATGAAAGACTTGAGGCTGAAAGAGGCACAAAAAAAGAGGGAGAAGAAGAATCCTCTTCCATCCCACTAGTCTCCCCCTGAAGAGGATTCCTAGAAGACTGAAAATAGGACTGAGACTCGAAAAACACCACATCCTTGGTGACATATTTTTTCTTGGTAACTGGATCATAGCACTTATAACCTTTTTGTGTGGGAGAGTACCCCTAGAAAGACCCCTTTAGTAGCCCCAGGATCCAACTTAGTCTTCTTAGGATCCTTGACATGAATGAAGCACACACAGCCAAAGACCCTAGGAGGAAGAGGAAAATCTAGAAGGTTAGGACAAAGGACAGAGAAAGGAGTTTTCATACCCAACACCCTAGATGGCATCCGGTTTATCAGATACGATGTTGTAAGGACTTCTTGAGACCAATAGTGCTTAGGAACCTTGTGCTGAAATAGTAAGGTTCGAGCTATCTCCAATAAATGTTTGTTTTTGCGCTCAACAACCCCACTCTGTTGAGGGGTACTAGCACAAGATGACTGATGTAGCATGCCTGCATCCTCCATGAACAGATTCAAGGAGCTTTCAAAATATTCAACAGCATTATCTGAACGAAATTGCTTAATTTTCATGCCAAACTGAGTTTCAATCATTTTACAAAATGCCATAGTTATTTGTGGCACTTCATCACGTCCTTTTAGCAAGTAGATCCATGTGCATCGAGAATAGAGATCAATAAAACTGATTAAGTAACGAAAGCCATCTATAGAAATAATAGGTGAAGGGCCCCAAACATCCCAATGAACCAAATCAAAAGGAGCTTGAATTTCATTACTAGAAATTGGATAAAGAGTTCTACATTGTTTTGACAACTGACACACTTCACAAACCAAATTCTGACTCGAAGCACACTTGAACAACTCAGGAAACAATCCTTGCATGGACGAAAAAGGTAAATGACCTAGTCTAGCATGCCACAAATGTAACCTAGCTACTGACTCCTCATTATCCCAACCACTAACAGTAGATGATTGTAAGGCTGAACTAATGTTTGCATCAAAATAATAGACCTCCAGACTCATGACCACTCCCAATCGTTCTCTTCATCAATCTGTCCTGAAAGACACTGAGTAGGAAAGAATGTTATGCTACAGTTTAAATTCTTGGTAAGCTTAAAAACTGATAAGAGGTTGGAAGCAAGACTAGGAACATGTGGAGAGGGAACCATCAACAACTCTCGTCTTATCTTGGCCAGACATCAAGTGGTAAGAAGAAATTAAAGAAGACATGTGTGCCATGTGGTCAGTAGCACCAAAATCAATAATCCAAGAAGTAGACTCCATAAGACTAGTTACACTGTAAGCAGAGACAATACTTGATCTGGCAAGAGAGGTGGAAGCAAGGGAATTGTTCCTTAGACGAGCCATGGCCCGGCTAAGGATATCTACCTCATTAGCAATGAAATCAAAGGACTCGGATGTGTGGGAATTAGTAGTTTGTCCCATAGGAGGAGGTGCAATTGTATATGTGCTCATTGGAGTCTCACCATTGTTGCTTATGACAACATTCCCACTTGCTGTTTGACTCCTCTAAGGCTTCTTGTCTTTCCTTAATGCAGCTGGTTTCAAATGAGGATAAAGAATCCAGCAAGTCTCTTTCAAATGTCTGTCACCTCTACAATGAGAGCACTTAAGATGCCTCTTGTCTGAATGCTTGCCCCCTTTTTGGGTTGAAGAAATCAAGGCTGAATGCTCAACAGGTTGTACTTGGGTGTCAACTTGCATCTCTTTCCTTCTAACCTCTTCATTCCTTACAAGATAGTAAACATGATGTAAATCTGGAATTTCATCCCTTCCCAAAATTTGGGATCTTATGCTCTCATACATCAGATCTAGGCCAGCCAAGAACTTAAAAGCTCTACTTTCTTCAATTTGTTTATCATGCCTCTCCTTATCTCTTGTATTTTCCCAATCAAGTACAAGATGATGATCAAGTTCTTCCCATAGTCTTAGAGTTGCAAAGTAAGTTGCAACAGACATATCTCCTTGTCTCAATGTAACAGTATCTTGGGTTAGCCTATAAATTCTTGCATTGTTCTTTCTCTGTCAATAGGTTTTAGACACCCTCTCCCAAATCTTAGAGGCAGTAGGGAAGTGCTAAACAGTCCTAGCCACTCTTCGAGTCATTGAGGCAAGCAGCCAGGCCATAACAGTAGCATTTTCCTTATGCCAGATTGAATAATCAGCATCATCCTCTTTAGGTTCCTTCTTCTGTCCATCTAAATAACCCATAAGTTCCCAGGAAGTAATGAAAAGCTTTGATGAAATAGACCATTCTCTGATGTTGTATTCATCTAACAACACACTGGTGATATGCAAGCTATGCAGATTTGGGTTTTCCAGGTTTAAAGACCTCCCACCAGTCCTATTGTCCTTAGAAGACACTTCACCTGATATTGAAGACATATTCCTTCTCTTACAGTAACCACAGATGAAAACACAACACAAGGAACTAGGTTTCAGATTTACCGAAGCTGTTACAAGGCTGAAGACACTCTCCGTGACTGTACTGAAGCACTTCTGAGCTGAAAACAACACCACTTGCAGCTGAGCAGATTCTGGACTGAGAACAACACCACCTCTGTAACTGTACTGAAGCACTTCTGGGCTGAAAACAACACCATTATGGCTGAGAGCAGATTCTGGACTGAAAAACAGCACAATTTCTGGAGGTTGAACCTGGACTGTGTCCACCAAGCAGATTCTGGACTGAAAACAGCACCACTTCTGGAGGTCGAACCTGGACTGTCACCACCCCTACGGTCTGTTCAATCTCCCAAACACCAACTAGGACTGTCTACTCAGTCCTTCAACCTAGATCTGTTCTACAGATCTCTCTAGCAGCTGAATGGCTACTAACTGCTGCAGAACTACTAGTAGGGCATAAGCTTCTAAGAAAAACTCCCCTTGGGCCCTACAGCCAATAGAAACCCTAGATACAAACCTTGCTGTTGTCTACGGTCAGTCCAAGGGTTTCTTCACAGTAGCAGAAATAAGAGAGAAGGAAAAAAAGAATAGAGAAGAGGGAAAAAAAAAGAAGGAAGCTAGCTGTAACCAGTCAGGCCGAATGGTGCTCTGATACCATGTTTGCTGGAGAACAGCAGCAGAAGAGGAAGAAGAAGAGAAGAGAAGAGAAGAGATTTGAGAATGGGCGGCGATGATAATTCAGCCGGCCCTAGAAGCTAACATATATATTTACAATAAGAGATTACATAAAAGGACTAGAATGCCCCTGATTAGTGATGAGACACCCAGATATAATAAAGAAAAAATAAAACAGGTTTAGGCCCAATAACTAAAGGCCCATAATAGACTAAGGAACTTAAACATAAAAGTTAAACTAAGCCAACCAACACTTAAACACGTGAAATACCCCTAATATCTTTCTAAACAAGGTTTAAAATGTCAATTTAAAAACAAGGTTATTTGGGGAGGCTGTCAGTTTCTTCTGGACATCAGTTTAGATCTTGTTGCTTTTGTGTTTCTTTTTTGAACTGGGTAACCTTGCTGTTTGATCAATCAATGTTAAGATGATATAAGAGCAATGTCAAGGGGATTAATCGCCAAGGTATTTTATAGATGGTTCTGTTGGATACTTTTATATTCTAGTTTTCTTTGAGGTTATAATAATAAAACCATTATTAAACTAAATTATTCAGTTTGTGAGTTGAAATACTAGTTCCTTTTTATTATTTTCTTAGCTATTAGGACTCAATCAAGATGTGTTCTGTCTTGAACCCTCATAGACTTTAAAACCAGATCTGATAAGCAAGGAAGAGCTCAATTTTTGTCCAATCAACACATATTTATTATTATTATTTTCTTGTTCTTTTATCCACTCTCTTCTTCTTTTCCTAGGATAAAAATTTAAGGGTTCATCCCTTCTATTTTCTGAATTCTGAAATTTCTGTTCTTTCTCCCATATTTTTGGGAATATCTTGATTCTCTATGTTTTAAACGAAGATTATACATTTTTATGAAGATTATAGACAATTACTAGTGAAAGATGGTTTCTACTTGCCATGATAATCACTAGCAGGAAATTTGGGTAAGAAGCAAAATGTGGTTGCTATATTTAGTGTTGAGGCTGAGTACAGAGCCATGTCTCATACTATTTGTGAATTGGCATGGTTAAAGCAGTTGTCACCGGAGATTAGTGTGCCAGTTTCAACTCCTATAAAGCTGGTTTGTGACAACCAAGTACAATTCATATTTCTTCCAATCCAGCATTTCATGAAAGAACCAAACACATAGAAGTGAATTGCCATTTTGTAAGGGAGAAAGTTGTAAATGGAAAAATTGCTACACCCTATGTGAAATCTGAAGATTAGCTGGCCAACCTCTTCACCAAAGAATTAAGCAATGTTCGGATGAAACACATTTATAACAAGTTGGAGGTTTATGATAATATATACTCCAACTTGAGGGGGAGTATTAAACCAGAGTTTATTATGTCAATAAGGTTACATTAATCTTTTCCTCTTTTCTTTCTTATTATATATTCTTTTATTTGAATAGGGGCACAGTTGTAATTTTACTTCTCATTACATTATAATAAAATAAAAGTTGGGTGGAAGTTGAGATCAGTTTGGTTCAATCTCTTTGCTCTTAGCCCTTTTCTTTTTACTTCTCCTTCTCTTCTACTTTTTCTTGACTCTAAACAATTCTAGCTGGTTTCTAGTGTAAATTCTTATTCATTAAAATTTTCAGATCTGACCACAGATTCGATCCATTTCCATCCCTAATGGAACCTGCTCAATTGCTACTCCTATCCATGAACTCTAAAGGTGTTAAATTAGGATGATTACATGTAAAAGGAAGAAAATGGGCAATATAAAAGTAATAGTTTTTAGGCATACACGGTTAAATAGAAAAATAATAACTGCAAAATCAAGAGCAACTATGACCATGCACTCAAACTAGTCAAATCTTTAAGAATATGAAATGCCATGAAGGTCAAACAAAGATGAAAATAAGTTATGAACTTGATTTTCCTTGAACAACATTGGAAACAACATTACATTATTTCAGTGAAATGGAAGCATGAGCATATGAAGAATTAAAAGTAAAATTACAGCCTCAACATGCATAAAAATAATGGCATACATCCAGTACGGAAAGAAAAGGTTTTCCTTGTCACTAATTCAGACTGTTTTACCTTAGAGATTGATCGGTCATATGTTCGCGACCTAAGAGCACCATAAAAATCCAAGGCTGCCAAACCACAAAAACAAAAAATGATACTTTGTCCATATATTTTAGCCATTGTTCAGTAACTAACCAAATAAGATATGTGAAAGCATGACATAATATTACAGACTATCCATATCAGAATATACCACAGATCCATGATATGGATATAGACAGACACATAGGAAACAGAGATATGACTTTATTCCTAAAATCATGGACATGGATACAGGTACAACTATCCCATGTAATATGCTTTGTATCATATGTTTCAGTTTTTAAGCTAAAGGTCAATTCTCAAGATTTATGACTTACAAATTTAATTAATTTCCAACATCTAAATTACCTAATGTTGGTCCATTGTATCTAGGTTCTTGGGAGGGGTAGACTGGTTACAGTCTTAACCTTTGGCATTTTTTTACACAAAGTGGAATCCATCAGACTCGAAGTCTCAAACCCATGTTCTCATGCTTTGCAGCCTGAAATTTTACCATTACACCAAGTAATGGACCCTAATTAAATTTCCAGCATATATATTTAGAGTATAATTTTTTAAAGCATACCATTTTACATATTTTAAAAATGTTCATTTTATACTAAGAATGTAAAGTTATCCAGCTATCATAGCTGGAGAAACCATGTTCACTGATCCCCTTGGATCACTTTTTGCTCTACAATTTGTATTGTGCAACACATGGTTCCAATATTTGGCCGATATATCAGGAAATTTTCAAATTTCATTGAGAGAATATATATTTAAAGTTTAATTTTAGAATATTATTGATGATAAAAAAATTGGAATGTTATTAAAAACAAAGAAAAAGCAAAATCTTCCAATCTCTCCTCTTGACAGTCGACCCAAGATATACTTCCATTCATTGACAGTCAACATTACAACTATACCCCCTGTCACATAAGCTGAAGATAGAATAGAATAAATAATAGGGAATAAGACAAATCTGCCCCCGCCAACTAATTTTAACACTCCCCCTCAAGTTGGAGCATATATGTCATAGAGTTCCAACTTGTTACAAATGTAGTCCATACAGTCAACATTACAACTAATTTTAACACTCCCCCTCAAGTTGGAGCATATATGTCATAGAGTTCCAACTTGTTACAAATGTAGTCCATCCTTGACCAACCCAGACTTTTGGTGAAGATATCAGCTACTTGGTCTTCTGATTTGTTATATGGTGCAACAATATCCCTACTTATTATTTTCTCTCTCACAAAATGACAGTCAACTTCAATATGTTTGGTTCTTGTTGAAAATTCAGTTAATGGGCCAAGACCTTTATGGGCCCATTTTTCCTTTTGTTATTAGTTATGTTTTAGTTTAGTTATTGGGCCTAAGCCCACTAATGCTCTTTTATTATTTCTTTAAGTACTGGTCCCTTTGTTATAGCCACCCTATTAAGAGCTAATTAGTCATTGTTCACATTGTTCACATCAGTTAAGTATAAATATAAAGAGAAAATGCAGCTAGAGAACTTTTTTGCCTCTCTTCTCATTGCTCTCTCACTTCTTCTCTTCTTTTTCTTCATCTTTCTCTTCACAGCTCATTCTTTCCATTCTTCTTTTTCTTTTTCTTTGTCTTCTTTTCTTGTTTGGGCACGCACATATAAGACCACCAATTGCGCCAATTAGAGGAAGTGATTTGTTACACATTGAAGGGGCTAGAAGACCTCGGGGTAGACCAAAAAGGGCATGGGTAGAAGTAGTAAGAAATGATTTAAGCACTAAAAATTTAGCAGTGGAGGGTTGACTCCACCACATGTTGCCCCACGCTTTTTTAGGCGCCAGCGTGGGAGGGTTGATTCTAATTCTCCTCATGCACCAGCAAGAGGCCATTCATTGTTCGCGTTTCCATTCCAATGACCCTAAAACAGCTTCCCTTGCGGGGGCAGACGCGTGGGCCTTGTTAGGAATGTGGTTACGCTAGCCATTGGAGCATGGCGGCCCTACACTGGCAAAGTTTCAGGTGGACATGCTCAGTTTTCAGGTDGAACACTTGCAGCAGTAGAAGCGCATCAGAAGGCGAGTGCATGTTCGGCAACTCATGGGTAAAAGTTGCCACACTCGCAGAGATTGCGGTCAGGTCTCCTTGAGGCAGCAGCATTGGGGTCCCCTCGGAGCGAACATGTAGCCCGAACCAGCGAGGTGAAGCGTAGTTTCGAGGGCCGTGAGAGCATAAGCCATGACTAGGTTTGAGTAACCCGCACAGGGCGAGGTGAAGACTGCAGGCCAGCATGGTGAAAGGGTACACCCAGCATCCATCGCCAACAGCAGGAGCAGACCTATTAGCATGTTCGGTAGCACCACTGAAAAGCTACCAAGAAGACGGTTGAGCCTTAAGGTAAGATGAAACATGGGGCGGACCTCCGCAAAGCACCACACATATTTCTTCGAGGGCCCTTCTTTCACAGTTCAACGGCATAGCCATTGCGCGGTTTGAGTAACCTCAACACTGGGAGGTGAAGTCCAGGCAGGCCGGCATGGTGAAATGGTTCCGTCCCCATAAATGGACACCAACATAGGCAAGACCCAGGCTAGCCAGACGGGCCCTAGAACTGGTTGAAGAAGTGGATGGCGCGGGACACAGACGCCCATTCACAAGAAGACCATTGTCGAGGACGACAATGGATTGAGTGGGGGAGCCTGTGACGGTTCAACACAGGCTTAGCCTTGCCTACGCTTGGCAGGCTTACGTTAGGGGCACCATCGTCATTTTCACCTGTAAGATTTTTGGGAGAACTGATGTCATCTTTAGGCAGACCACCAAAAGCTTAACATACTCTTTGAGGAGGGGTGGTCGAATTCCTTGGGTGCCTAACCTTGGCACTCCTAGACCATCATCCCCTTGCGGGGCGGCCCTGGTTAATGGCTAGCATGGCTACCGGGGTTCCTCGTGGGCGCACACATGCTCATGGGGACAGTGTTGGACCGGCACTGTGCTACCGATACTCAAGGGAGGCTTGGCATGCGGGCTTGCCCACAAGTCGTCGGTATCTGCCAGGGTCTTCAAACACTTCACCCATATCACTGCTTAGCTTGGTATTTGTGTCCATGGGTGTTTCARYTGGTTTGGCACYCARCAAGCCTGTTTCTTCCAGCAAATCAAGCACATACTTCCTCTGGTACAGGTTAATCCCATACTTGGATCTCGCTACCTCTATCCCCAAGAAGTATTTCAGTT